CTCAGTGGCAAGAGGCTGCTAATCTGAGCTCTAATTTCATCCAGCTGGGGTGACACCTCGAACGCCCTTAACATACCTTCTTGTGGTGCATTATTCTGTTTGTCATCTTTTAGTCTGCGTATTTCTGCCTTTAGTTCCTCTATGGAGGACTTCAGGCTTTCGATTTCTGGAATAAGTGACAATGACACAGTTGGTGGCTGAAGTCTAGTTAGTCTAACAAAAGGTGTGGAGCTTCCATTAAGCTTTACGTCTTCTGCAACATTTAGTGTTGCGGTCTTATTACATGTTGGGCATGCAGAGGTACTTCTGTTATCATTAACGATGGCTGTCCTGTCGAACGCAGTTCTTCTTCTCTTGAGCATAACTGGGGTATAAGCTGACTCACTTATGCTGTTGCGAGAGGAATCTGCTTTTGGTGTCACCAACATTAGGGCATTGTTGATGCACTGTTCCATAGACAATTGTGTCCGTGCCTTTTTACATGCATTAGCTATATCTAGTTGCATGTCTGATATGTGATTGGTCATCTGAGAATTCAGTGGCTTTATGATGGCGTTAATAACAAAGGTATGATACAGTTAGGAAATCACGTTAAAATGTAACACAATTTCAAACGTGCCGCCAGTTGTACTGTGGTCATTACGACACAAATAGTAATTATCTGACTTGAGCCTGAAGTTTGAGGTACCTGTCGAACCCCTAGTTTCAGTGTTTAGAGTGCACGACGATTTGGTCTAGTAGGCCAGGGATTTTAGAAAACTCAGCTCAATGCAAATTAAACTTGAGTTGAGGAGAAATACAGGGAATTCTGGTGGGTTATAAAAAGGCTTAGATCATTAACAAGATCGGCTAAAAGTGTTCTTTCATGGTCATCATTTGAGTCAATGGGATGTGAAGTGGAAAATTTCGGGACGCAGGCAGGTTCCTCAGCATCGCATGCCAGACTACCCATTGTTGCCCCAGGCGATGACCGATCATTTATTGGCCTGGGGGCTGGGAGGATGTCACTATAGTATTTCTGCCACTGAAGTGGCCGCTGGCTAAAGCCAATAGTAGCTGACTCAAGTATGTCATTACCTGCATGGCCAATGGTGGTATTATTTTATGAGGCCCGAGAAAGGATGGGTTCTCTACGGGAGTTCCAGAGCGTACATTCTTCATAGAACGCTGGATAGGCGTCACTTACGCTGGCTTTTTTGTCGCAGCCAGGGGAGATACAAGGTCCCTTATTTTGAACACTCAGTCATAGTTGCAGGTTTGGTCACGTTGGGCTGTGAACTTAGATACGTTAGTGGTGTAGTGAACTTATGTTCCTAGGTAGATGAAACTGCGTGGCCGAATGTGACGAGAAAAACCTTTCTTTTCTTCTTGGAACCGTATTCCGTGGTCCAGGTGGCTTCAGCTGCTTGTTCCGGTACGCTTTGCTTGTGCTTACACAGTTAAGCAGCTGAACCGTACTATGGTTAGCCGAGATCCCCTTGCCTTCTGCTGTTGGGCGAGGAGTGTTTTTGCGCTGATCTTTGAATGTGAACAAAACAACCCGAGATAAATTTATGGGGTTGGGTGGCAAAAGGCGACTAGGGTTTCTGAGTTTCATTGGATCGCCCTGTTTGTTGTTGAAGCGTTTAGATCTCCTCGACATTTCAGCTTCGGATACTGCCAGAGAGGCGGGTCGCACAGGCTGACCAACCTGCGTGATATGAGCAGACTGACTTCTCCGGGGCCGTTGTAGTTCATCACTAAGATTCGTATTGTCGTCCAGGTCTGTAGATATGTATGCATGTTGATGGCATGGAGTCAGCATTTGTCATGCTCACTGTCGTATTCATAAGATTTGATCCAACCGGAATTTCTCGTTCGGTATGTAGGTGACAATTTTGGCGTCATTAAAAGCAAAAAATTGGAAGGCATTTACGCATTAATCGGCAACATTTTCGATGATATAAAATTCTCAGCTGAAGAGGAACCAAACCACAAACTTGTATGTTTAGACGATCTCATAGGTAGAACAGATTCGAGGAAACTGGAAGGTGAAGTATGCAGAAAACTGACTCATACGGATCAAATCTTCGGCTCCAGTAGCGACAACTCAGCAGCACATAAAGCCAGTTGCATGAAAACTTTGTTCAGAAGATAGAAAACGCGCTGTAGCTCTTCAACCCTGTGAAGAGAAGGACAAAACTATCGGGTGATTGCTTTACGGAAGAACGGCGATCCACGGAACTTCATCAAAAAGTGTTTGAGTAGTTCATCATCAACCAAGCAGCCAACATAGGAAACTAATAGGTCACGACTGGGTGATTCAAGTCTTTTGGGGTTGCTTTGTCGCACAGACCCACAATATCTCGCCAGCCTCTGTTGTGCGAACCGGATGACACAATGGCGGGAGAAGACAAACCAAAGATTATCCAGAAAACAAAGTACAGAAATTACGAATAGCTCTACACCGGACCGAGTAGTTGCTCTCCTTGCATCCGGCCACATTAGCGCCGGCTAGCAGTGAAACTTCATGACATCTTCGCCCACGTCACTGTACAAAGACAACTATAGACATGAATTTGAGTGGACAGCTGTGAAAGTCCCGGATAAATGAAACACGAAGTATGCTGGAGAAGTTTCGGAAGCTTGGAACTCAGGTCAGTCAGCAGTCAACAAACACGTTCACAGTGACCCAGTCTGTCAACTGATGAGGGGTAACAAGAAGGCCAAATTTCAGGTCATCAGCGGGACTGATGAAAGTAGACATGTAGACGATGACAAGACCTCAGCAGAAACAACCAGCCGTACGCAACGCCATCAGGACAAGCTACCGAGCCATTTCTGGAGAATACCAGTCGGCTCGCTTCTTTCTAAAGTGTCGATTTTATCTGCAATGACAGAGAAAGATCCATAAATAAGCAGCCTGGCTCGGAGCTCACAACATCGTCAAGACTAATTTTCTGAGCTACAAGTGTCCTCCATCACCTCATTATTGGAAATTAATGTTCTTTAATGGAAGAGTGTTAATTTCAACCCCGTTTCAGCAAAACCTGAACGAATGAGAATATTATTCACAAGCGGTTGTTGCGTTTTGAAACTAGTGTTATCTGTGATTTGCATGAGGGCAAGAGGTTCTAGCATTTCATAATTTTGAGAAACGTGTTTTTGGATACACAATTCGACTGTGGTTAACAAATCTATGACGACGTCCTTTCAAACAAACATTTCTAGAGAGGCAAGATGAATAAGTTAAAACGTAATCACTATTAAAGATAAGATGTGTTAAGCTTCGATCCACATTAATCCTAACGCCAGACGCTGGTGAAACTCATGATAGATTGTCCCTTTTCTCTTGAACATTTTCATACCGCACGATAATTGAAGGCGAGATGAAAATTTGGACCGTGGCCGGATTCGGATCAGAGGTCTCAGGGTTTCCGGCTCGATGCCCTAGCAACTGGGCTACAAGGTCCGTTTTCGTTTTCCTTTTAGCACATTTTCTTTGCTATCTGTTGGATGAGCTCTACGTTCTTGTCCTCGCATTTCCGACTTTGGTCCTCTACTCTAATCCCACACTGACAAACAGTGTAGTATATATGTCGGGTGCAGGATATGAATATGTTCCCATCAAAGTTCCGAAAGCCTTTCATAAGGTCCTGAAGACTTGAAAGGCTTCGGTAGTTACCGCCCTAAAAATGGCTTTTGTTTTAACATCGTGCCTGTTTATGGCATCCAAGTATTTTCTTTCTTTTGCCTTGGATAGCAGCTTGTCGAGTGATAGTCACTGCCGCCGTGGCTCATTGTAAATGGCTTCTAGGCATCAGCTCGTAGTCACGCCTTCTACAGTACCCGAGTCATCCTGTAGGCACAGCCTGTTTTCATAACTATCAACGGGCCTTCACAATCTAGCATCATGAACAGCCGTAAGTAGGGATTGCCCAGTTGTCCTGGGCAACTTGCTCGCATAAAGTAGGAGGAAAAGTTGACCTGAACTACTACGCTTAGCCGCTCCACGACTTAGTGATTCACGAAAGGGCTGAGATCCACAAAGCTTTACTTTCTGACTTCCATTGTGAAGAAAACCTTAAATCTGGTTCTCAGCCACATCTCTCCCAAAGCTTTCTGGCTTCTTCTTTGGATTTAGGTGAGAAAGGCTACCACCACCTTTGCAGAAGCCAATGAGCCCCATTTCGGCTGGGACACTCGAGCCCCAGGGGGCTGTTACTCTCGACGCGATATGGAACGGAATTATGAATGATCTCTTCCTGAAGCCTTATTGCCAAACTAGTCCGACTAAATGAAGAGTTTTTAGCTGCCAGTTGTCTGTGATCATTTTTGTCGACCGGACTGGCCACGACATCGTTCTCATCTCTTGGTGACTTCCATTTGTTCACTGACGCATTAAACGGCTAACTTAGTGGCTCGAGGATGCTTCTTACTGGCGCTCATAGGATGTCTGGATTTAGCTAGTATGAACCACGGGATTTGCCGGGGTCGGAGTCACGGAGTGGCCTCAAGATGGCGTAAATGAGAGCTGGTTATATCCGCTAAATTTCATCGATAAAAGCGGTTTCTGGACACCTAATCGACCTTCAGAGAATACTCCTTTGGAGCAGCATTACTAGCAACCAGGCGCGCTGAATCTTTATATATCACTTAGATTGAGAAGCCAATATAAAAGTACAACGTTTTGAATAGTAATTGGTGTCCCGCCTGAACTCTTGCCAGTATTTCTACTAAAGTCCACAAATCAGGCTTATACAAACTTTCTGACCTCACAATATATTTGTGTAAACTGACGAAGACTGGCTGTAACAAAAAAGTTCCACAATCTTTCTTCTCTTTATTCTCAATGGTGAATACTGCAGTTTACATCAAGCCGTTACTCAAGACACGAAAGTGAGTTCAAAATAATCAAACTGACTGATATTAGCTCGTAACACAAATATTGTTTATTGAGCATTGCCTAATTGGAATTAGAGTGGCTTTGGAGGCATGTTTGTTACTGGTCAAGGTTAGTGATGGAAGGACTTCCTAGGATTCCTGCTGTCAGCTTGTGTTTGAAGAAAACTGATTTTGTACCTGAACTTCAACCATTAAAAAGAGTATATTAAGTTTCCCTTACCCAACATATTTTAGTATATTGAAGTACAGTACCAACAGCCTTCCAGTAATTATGACAAAGAATTTAATGAGTTTCTTAGCCTACGCAAAGTAATGTGACATTACTTTCCACCTATTATATTAGTCTGCTTGTGAACCATCCATTGATTACACTGGAGTTTCCCAACAAAAGCGTTATTATGCTCAGCTACAGCTGCTTAAAGGCAGGTTTCATTTTTCTGCGGAAAAATGTACAGATGTAAAATGGAAATGGTAATTATCTGTTATTATTTTACTTTTTGCGTAGGCAAGATGCTTTTTCCAACTCATTCTCAGAATCTTCTGACATTCGGTTTGAGGAGGCTTCGGTGATGTATAATATTGCAGCACTACATTCAATTCTGGGTGTCAAAGAGAGAAGATCAGATGCGGATGTAAGTGTGCACATTTCTTTTATGAAATCCTCTAATGCATATTGATTGTGCTACTTCTTCGTCTTTTTTTACTATCCGACACCCTTAAATGGAGACATCCTGGAGTCATTGACAGACGGGATTTATTTAAATATGAGTCGCTTACAGATCTCATAATTCTCAAACTAGGGTGAATTTTCCTTGGACATTCCACCAATAAGGTTTACACTGCTTTTCCTGCTGTACAGGACACCAGAAATGTTCAGGATGAAATAAATAACTTTTTAGTTTCTTTCCTTGTTTTTTTCGGAGCTGCATTGTTTCGGTACAAGTTTATATTATCGATTCGAAGAACGTCTATATGAGTCGCAGTGAGGCTGAAAATCCTGCTTGTAAGTTGAGTTTGGGAATACTTTGGGGAAGGCAGATTAAAAATTCCTGGCTTATTAGCTACGGGTAATTTATTTCTGCTCCACTGTGTTCCGTTCACTAATCTAACTCCATCTGGAGAGGTTATTATGAATCCATTCCGGTGGAATTCTCAGTAATCATCTCTCCAGTGCCCTTAATTAGCTAAAATAACCCAAGTATTACTGGATGTTGGTGCCTTTTACTTCTTCACCTTCGCCCCTCACCGCTGTTCTCAACCATTCCAAAGACTCTTGGTCAGTTTGCGTTTGAGCTGCTTTTGCTCGTTATTGTGACCAAAGCCAGCTAGAATGGGTCTTGTGGCATCAATCAGATAGGATGGCGTTGAGAAAATACATTGACGTATGTTAACATTTGAATGTAAGTTATCAACTACACCACTGTTTCTACAGTAGACCGAATATCACACCAGGCTTCGCGAAAAGAACTGCCGCCAGGTTCAGATAAGTGCTTTTCTATATCTTCAAGTACACATTTGACCTTCTTTCGTCTTCCGGCCGAACAAATGCAAACTTCACTGCAGCCTGTTTCCTATCACCAGTAAAGTACAAACATTCCCATCTTCTTGCGAGTATGTGATCTGAATTCAGACAGTTGCTCAAGGAAAAGGTGGTAATTACCCACCGATCCTCCAACGGTGGCTCATAGCAATATGATCTACATGTGTCCATCGTTGATCTGTTTTTGGGAGATACCAAGCTAGACAATGTTTCTCTTTATGATAGTACTGGCTAGAAACGAGTGGTTGTCAATAAAATTACAAGAGACAATCACTGTAACTGTAGTGTCCATGGAACATCTTATAGCTTTCATGCTCTTTTTAGGACTATTTGACTGAGATTTCATTGTGTAAATGCCGGGCAAGAAAAACCTATCCCACGGGCACTGGAATACTGCAGGGTAAGGTGGAGTATTCCGTTTGTTGCACTGACCGTTTCTAAACCTCTTTCCGATAAAGTTGGCAGCATCAACATAGTACTACTGGGCACTCATGAGAAAACTTATCGTTTTCACGCCCCAGTACTACTTCGCTTTGAAACCCCCTATCATAACGTAGCTATTCAAATTAAGATAGTAACTGTCTTGCCATTGTCTCATACACCATTCTGGGATGGCAGGACCTCAAGAAACAAGCACTCTATCCAGCATAACTCGTCGGATCATTGTGATATGCAGACCCGATCACTACAACAAGGTAGCAGTTGCCGATTGTGACGTATGTGTATGGCTGATAGATATTACTCATACCTGTGCGTGTAAACCTCAATTGGATTCGTATTTTTACTATGTTTATGACAGTGGTGTTATCATCAATATTATTTTTCACAGAGGTTCCACAATTCCGCTTACCAGTCAGTTTGCCACTTCTTATAACGGCTAAGTATGACATGCCCTTCATGAAATTCAGTCTCAATAGAACTCAGGTCTATGACTGTATTGTTGGAGTTTAACTCTACGTCTTTGAGTCAAAAATTAATATCTCAAGGAATTGAGAATTCAGTTTGTAGACTATTTGCATGGTATTCATCATTAATATTGGATTTATAACCTTTGTATTCATTTTATTTTGTTTCTTAGAGTATGAAAATTGCTTGCACTCACTTTCAATGTGCCTCATGGGCCCTGAGTACATTGGTTGAGCGTCATTTACCTTTACCTGGTGCACCTGATTTAAACAGTGAGCTTATGCTTACTTTCGGGTCCATTATGCTAGTAAGTTTCTTTTAACAGTTCTTTTTATTATCTTAGCCTGAATATAACTTGAATTTAATATGCAACAGTGAAATTAAACTTACAGCATCATTACAGCCAAAATGTGTGATGCACAACATTTTTAATTGTGGTATGTGAAGGTCCACGTACAAATCATAACGGGAAAACCTGTTATACGAAACTAGTTATCACATATTGGCTGAAATCACTATGCGAACGGTGATAAAGTCAGGCTAGGGGTACTGAACAAGACAGGAAAGTCGGCTGATGAAGTTGTGATTATGTACTGTGCATCCTGAGCCATCGCCTACCTCGACGTATCATGCCGGGAGAAGTTGAATTAAGCTGGAAGAGGGTTCAGGGTGACCAAACCAAAACGTGAAACCAGTCGATGTAGTCTCTGACTATTGGTCTGAGCTGTGTCGGGTGATACTGACTGCCTCGTTGGGGTCCTTGAGACAAAAGGAATCAGTGGTGGCATAGCTGAAAATTGGTCGCAGTGGTGGCGCAGATGTATTCACTCTTTGACATCTTCTGAAGCTTGAATATTCGCACTAACATTTATCTTCAGATTGTTTATTCTCTCACACTACTTTATCTGCTTTGATATCACTCTTTTTCTATCCACTTGTTCTTTGTATACTACTGCGAAATGTGGCAACTTGAAGCGATGCGCTTGTGTGTGAGGTCCTGTTTTAGTTTTGTCAGTCAGTCTGTCATCTTAGTGAGATAATTTGCTGCTAGGTCATGGATGCTTCTGTAAATCAGTTTCTTCTGCTTCTCCTTATCAATATTAGTGCTGTTTTTTCTACGAATGATCCAGTGATCCTCTAGTCTATCATATTGATACAGAATGAATGCATATATGCCTTTCGTAATCCCGAGGATCAGCCGGTCATTGATAGTATTTATAATAATACTAATAATAACAGCAACATTCAGCTGATTTTCAGCAGTCTTCACGGCTAAGCAGTGAAGAGTCTCACTAAAAAGGCACAGTAATTTTGTAGAGCTCATCCCCGCTCCTCAATTTGTTTTGACCTATTTAACTGTGTCATACTGTTGCCGTGTATCACTACTGTTAAAGATGTACGACGACTGGAAATCGAAAGTCGAAACCCACGTGGATGTTTATGCAGTAGACAATGTTCCACACTGATTGTGTGTGGGCTAGTGATACTACTTGAGTGCCTACATCTCGGTGGATGAAGCAGGATTTGAACCTGTGATTCACTGGTTTAAAGTCAACTGCCTAAACCAACTAGTCACTGTGGGTGTTTGACCATAATTTCCTACATGGGATCGCTCAAATATTTGAAATCATCACATAAGGAGCATATATGTTACGCCTAGTTCCAAGTAAAAGACGATTAGTCGCTTGGTGAGGCGAATGGGACTGACTAAGTGACTGACAAAATCAGTGTAGAACCTTACACACCAGTGTATCGGTATATGTTGCCACACTTCACAGTACTACACAAACAAAGCTAAATAGAAAAGGAGTGACATCAAAGTAGATAAAGTAGTGTGAGAGAATAATCAATCTGAAGATAAAGGTTAGTGCGAATATTCAAGCTTCAGAAGATGTCAAAGAGTGAATACATCTGCGCCGCCGCTGTGACCGTAACCGATTTCCAGCCATGTCACCAAGATTCTTTAACCACTGATTCCTTTTTTCTGGAGGACCCCAACCAGGCAGTCGATGTCACCCAACACGACTCAGAACAGTATTGCAAGACCTCGTCGATTGGTGCCGCGTTCTGGTCTGGTTACTCTGAACCCTCTTCCAGCCCAATCCAGCTTCTCCCAGCTTGACACGTCGAGGTAGGCGGCGGCTCAGGATGCACAATACATAACCCAAGCCATCTCAGTCAACTAAGGTTCACAACTTCATCAGCCAACTTTCCTACCTTGCCTAGCGCCTTTCGCCTGACTTCATCACTGCTCACACGGTGATCCCACCACACGCGAGAAGTGTTACGGAAGCATGTGTGATCAAAGCCCTCCAACCGCTTCATGTTATGTGCTCTTAACGCTTATGTCTCAGCTATAGTAGAGGACAAAATGGAATGCAGCGCACTGTACTCATCTTTTGATAGGTAGTCGGATATCTCATCAGTCGGCCCCACAAGTGACGCAAGTAAGCAAGTGCCAAACGGGCGTTCTGTATGCGGGGTGAGATTTCATCAGCAACCAGGCCGTGTAGCTGATTGATGCGATTCTCAACCACTTCACTTCCTATCGTTAAGCTAGTAGTCGTTGCACACCAGTCCTGAGGCATCATCTTACATTTGACAGATAGATGCCAACGAAACGCATGCGGAGCATACTCAGATTTCTGTTAAAGGTGTTCAAAAGACCTTGCATTTCGTCAGCATCTTCACCTAATAGGTGGACGGGACATGTGTTACGTATGCTTGATCGTCATCTATCCAGAGGATCTATGTCATCTGCAGTAGGTTTAATATCTCCAATGTTCTGAACGTCTTGCTGATTCTTATTTACTTATTATACCTTTCGTATCCTTTTTTGCTGCTGAGTGTCCACTTACCTTTTTGGTCAGCCGTTGGAAGTAGTCGAAAATTTTGTCTATCTGGGTAGTTGTGTGAGTGCTGGTAGAGGTGTGATGAAATTTCCAGCAGCATATCGAAAGCCGGAGTGGCATACGTCAATCTGGCCCGCCTTTGGTGCCGTCGTCACATTAGTATGACCGTAAAAGATCGGGTCTACAACACTTCGGTACAAAAAGTTTTGCACTACGCCTATGAAACCTGGCTTATACGAGATGAGGATATGAGACAACTTTTTATGTTCGATCATCGTTGTCTCTATAGGATTGCCCGGATCCGGTGGTAACACCATGTAAGTAAATCTGAGGTACGGCAGACTGTGTTTGGGCATGGTGGAGATCGTCATTCAATAAGTCTTCGGTGGCTTGCATATGTGTTACGCATGTATTCCCAACGGCTTACTAACTGTTCATTGTTTGCTAATCCTGGGACTGGATGGAAGAAGCGGAAGGGTGGTCAGTGTATGACGTGGAGCCGTGAGATGAAGGACAGTTGTATCGCGTTACCATCTGTTGGTTCATCACGACTCCCTGGATGGCGTTTGAGAGATCACACAACTCAGTTGCTCGGGACGTTATTAGATATGGCTCAGAATTGAAACCAGTGGGGGTTATGTTATGGCTTCTCCCTATCTTCTACTGCTGAAAAGTAATGAACGTTTTGTTTTGAATATACCTTGCTGAACTGTCGTTCTAATCATGCTATTTCTATTTTGTTTTACTTTGTCCATTTCCCATCAGTGTTATGTCTTCACAGTGTTACTATACTATTTTGTGTGGCACACTTCTTGGTGCCCTTGCTGTATCATGTTTGTGTTCTAATAATAATAATAATAATAATAATAATAATAATAATAATAATAATAATAATAATAATAATAATAATAATAATTAATAATAATAATACTAATAATAATAAACTGTGTGGTAGTTTCTTTTCGATCAACCATGTACTGAGAACTTGTTAAAGACAAAGTTACCATTGATGTTCACTATAGCATGTATTTATAAATCCAACTACTGCTGTGGTGTGAATTATACGGGCCGTAACGACTGAACTTTATGTCGACATGCCCTTTGCGCATTTACCATCTTGTCTTCGAAGAGGAGTAACCATGCTTATTAATAATCTTATTTTATCTCACTTGGTTAATTACTAATGGACATCAATTTAAATTGGTCAAACCCTCTCAACAAATTTGTTTTCAAGATCTGTATACTCGTGTAATCATTATCTTTTCTCATTCGGAAGTCACTATGATGTGTGCATCTGTATTTATTAGAGATGTTACGATAATCAGGTTATACTTATAAAATCGATACATTATTCTGTTCTGAATGCTAAGCTGTCTGCCAAAACGCATATGTTCACATGTTTTATGAATGTCAGTTGACGTGAGAAAAAGCCAAAATCATGTATTTACAAGGAGTACATTTAACCTCTATGTGTACTTTAGTCTAATATATAGTAAACTCATATTCAGTCATCATGCGACTAATCTTTATTCTTCCACATCTCTTTCTTGCTAAGTTACATAATATATTTATGTGATTGCTATCGTTCACCAACTGCCTTATGTAAATTCCTACTGTCAGCATTATAGACAGACAAAGTCAACGTAGAGTCTCGCACAGAATTGCATGGGCTGAACTTATCACACTTCACAGTAGGCATACAAAGGACAAGTGTATCAAAAAGGCTGATAACAGAAAAGATAGAGGTGTGTGGGATGAAAGGGAACTAGATGTCAAGGACTGAATGCATTTGCGCCGCTATTATGACCGATTTTCAGTCATGTCATCAATAGTCCTCAACCAATGATTCTTACCGTCTTGGAGACCTCAGGCATGTAGCCTACATCTCTTGACACAAACTCCACCGACTGATGCTGCGTCTTGATCTGTTTACCCTGAACCCTCTTCCAACCTAATTCAACGTTGAGGTAAGGAATGGATCGGTATGTGCAACCTATGTGCAAGCCGCCTCACCTCAGACGATGAAGGTTCACAACCTCATCAATCTACCTGCCCATCTTACCTAATACACTTTGCCTGACCTCTACCAAAGGTGAGCAATTCTGCGAAGACTTCTATGATCAAAATCGCATAACGGCTTCACGTCTTTTAATGGCTATGTCTCAAACATTGATTCTTGTTGTCTCTGGGAGCCTAATTTGATACTCATCATTATTAGCGATGTTAAACACTCACATACAATTTATCTTGATTTTTTAATTGTATTTTCATTGTTTTTCATAATGTTGATTATAATGCATTACAATTGACTGCCTATATGTAATTAAATCGTGGTCAACGTTATTCCGATCATTATTACTTCGTTTAAAATTCGACTGAATTTTATTCCGCTTGTTCTGCATACTCCTTATCTCAACTAAAATTTTATTTATACCTTACATTGGTTATTTTATGATAGAATCCCTGGATTTACAACCGTAGAACCTGAGGATAAGATCTAATACTTGTAGATTGCGTATCCAAACCGATAAGCTGAAATATTTCTTTAATTCCTCATTACTACTTTCCACGAAGCATAGTTTATCAAAGTTAAATAAGTTTCATCTTTAGTGAGATTTATGAACTTCTTGTTCTTATTTTATTTTCCACGATAATATTCGTCTACATTGGCCCGAGGTGGCCAGACTAAAACATGGCACCAATGTATGAAGTCTCTGACTGTTGGTTTAAGCCATGTAGGACGATGCAGACTAGGTGGTTGGGGTCCACGGGACAAGAGGAACCAGTGTTTGGAGACCCTAGGTGATATGGCTCAGAACCGAAGTCAGTGGCGCAGATGTATGCACACATTATCCTCATCTTAACAACGCTATACCGAATCTCACCATTTTGTCACTCCTTTTTCCTTTCCTCTCGTACTTTATATTTCTTTTGACTGCATTCACTTGTCTTCATCCTTCGCCTCACTACCTTTTTACTTGATGTGCTGATATGAGGTGTGGCAACTCGGACCGTTACTCAGTAATGCCTGGTCCTATGTTGATAATGATGATGATGATGATGATTCGTCTACATTCAGGAAGATGTCTAATTTTCTGAATAATTTATTGTCATTTGGATTATCTGAGATAGCCGTGGTTTGGTAGACGATTATTTATATTAGGCAATGGTTGAAGGTGAAATAAAATCTGGACCGCAGCCGGATTTGGACCAGCGACTACCACCGGGTTTCCGGTCCGATGCTCTATCATCTGAGCCACGAGGTCCGACTGCCAACCAGATTTTTATTTCACTTCAATCACCAAGCTGGGTTTTGCCCAACGACTGCCATCTGAATTCGTCATGCTTTACTGTCGCTTGATTGTATTCACACTGGCTGGTTAGTCAGGACTTCTCATCCAAATCCAAATCTGAGTGAATTAGAGGGGAGGGGTAGCATCATAGTGATTATCATTTTGACTATCTGAGTGAGATAGTCATAGTTTGGCAGACTAGTATTGATATTGTGTGATGATTGGAGGTTGAATAAAACCCTGGCCAGCAGTCGGACGGCGTAGCTCACTTGATAGAGCATTAGGCCGGGAACCCACTGGTTGCTGGTTCGAATCCAGCACTGTTTCAAATTTTCATTTTACCCTCAATCATCACCCATTATGGGTAATTTATCCTTGATTTGATGTAATCTTTTTATTTATTGATAATGTATTGTTGTTTTAAAGACACAAGCACAAGAGTGTGTTGTAGAAAAGTCCATCCTGGATAACAGACCTGCTAATGTAAATGCTAAGCTATCTCAATATATAATGGATACCTATGAAAATGTTGGTGTTCAATTGTTGTCTTTTGAATCGAATGATAAAATGGTGCTTCCAAAATTTTGTAAAGTATGTTATTCTTATTACCTCATGACTATTTAATTTGTTTTCGTTTTAAAGGATTATTATTTATTCATTTAGCTGTTTCATTAGTCTGTTTTGTTGTTGACATACTAGATGGGATCGATTATTAGTCCGCGTCTGTTGACCAATAGTCACAGTTTAGAAAGACGTTTGAGTATTGGTTGCTGAAACTATCAACAGAATATTTTTCATCCGATGAATGTGGATCTAATTCCTGGTAATATAGTGATAGTGAGCCAAATATTCTATGTTTCAGTCGTTGGATTCTCTGGGTTAATTTTGTCCTTTTGAAATAGATGTTTGCATTTAGAGATGTTCATAGGGTTGAAACATCGCATTTCGATTCTTAACTGGTTGAAACCACTAGATTTTATTTGATGTTACTTGTACGTCTTCGTTGTTGAACTGGGTTGAATTGTTCAACCTCTTTAGCATATGGACGGCTCCATATTACTTGAATATTTATCCAGTATATCCAGTATAACAAGGGAGAATTACAAGCATATCAAATAATAATAATAATAATAATAATAATAATAATAATAATTATTATTATTATTATTATTATTATGCGATGTACAAGAAGAAGCTATCGTGCCTCAGTGGCCTACAGGATAACGTTTTGGCGTTTGAAGCGATGGGCACTCTGTTCGAGAACCCGTGGGAACAATATCACTCATATCCAGGTGACAAATCCCAAATGGGACGAAACGCATGTCCTGGATTCCACTGTTAACCACAACCAAGTCATTTATAAGTACTGGATTTTGATTGATAGTGGTTATATGTAATGCCTATTTATTTCCACATTTGCCTCTCACAGATAAATAAGAACGTTGTTTATACTAATTAAAGTGTTCACACACGTGTTCGTGCGGTAGGCAATGAGTCACATCTATTTTATGACGGCTGTAATACTATCTAGGTGCCTAAATTTCTGTAGGTGAAGTGAAATTCACTTACATTACCTAGTTGAAAGTTGGTTGGCTACACTAATGAGCCACAGCTCTGTACAATCAACACGTGCCTAAAGCTTCATTGAATTATCATCTAGAACTTTGAACACTATTCTACGCCGCTGTAATTTAGTTGTTCCAGGGCATCTGACTTTTATAAATTAGTTATGGACATATATTATCTGGGTGATGGCTATTGTATTCTAATTTATGGTTTCGTATCTATTTTGACGACTATGGTCTTCAGATATGCTCAAAAATATCATGGTTTAGGTTTTACCGAGAGCCTCGGTTTCTCTACAGCCACAACTAAAGCCTACTCATTAGTACATCAGGCTGTGTTGATTGTATTATTTCAAAGTTAAGGTGACATTTCATGACATAGTTTGAGGTATTGTCAGTATTGAGTTAAAGGCAAGATAAGTTTCGTCTCATGATTACCATTGTCGATTTAAACTCTAGTGACATAATCGCCCCAGTGAAGTTAAACAGTGAAATGATACTATTTACATCATCGTCGAGATCAACATGGGACTAGGCATTAATGTGTAACGGTCCAAGTTGCCACACCTCATATCAGCACATGAAGTAACAACGCAGTAACATGAAACATGAAGAAAAAGATCAAAATCAGTCAAAGGAAGTAGAAGCAGAACGTATTAAAAGAGAGGAAGAATGAGATGATAAGATTAAGTATAGCAGATAATGTTTGGATGACATGTGTATACGTCTGTGCTACTGACATCGGTTGTCAGCCATATCACCTAGAATCTCCAACCACTGGTTTCTCTCTCTCTCTCTCTCTACACGACTGGAGCCAACAGTCAAGGACAAAATAAAACAAATTTATCTTATTTCACTGAATTCTCATTAGTTTTATACAGCCACTATTACTTTGCATCTCCTACTTTGTCTTCAAAATGTGAAGTGAAATCACAAAAACCTACTTGAACCTTCATACGATGGTTATTTATTTATCTATTCAGATTTATATTTACATGATAAGTATACAATAAAATGAAGCGAATTCCTCTTATTCTGTAAATATTCTCAGGGAATTGTTTTAATTGCATTGACAATAAGTGTTTTATGTTATTCAGATATGATTGTTAGCCATAAACCAAATAACTTCCTGTAGCTGGTGATAAATGGCATTTCTCGATTAATTCTATCAAAAATTAGTGACTAGGGTTTCTACTTATGATAGGGGGTGGGCAGTTACTGTCGTTAGCCTTCAATTATAGCTACGATCTCCTTGATTTCTGTGTGGTGACTGTAATGTCTTTAAGCCTGATAGCACCAAAAGATGTGTCCACCGCTTACATCAGCTTATGATGTTACCCAATATAGGACTTGGTTCTATGAAGGTTAAGCGTTGTCAGAGCCAGATTTTTTAGACAGACAGAATCAACGTAGAACATCACACACAAATGTATCGGTTCAAGTTGTCACACTTCACAGTACTACAAAAAGAACAGGTGGATAAAAAAAAGTGATATCAAAGAAGATCAGGTTGTGAGACAATAAACAATCTGAAGATAACTCTTAGAGCATATTTTCAAGCTTTAGAAGACCTCAAAGAGTGAATACATCTTCTCTATTGTGACCAATTTTCAGCCGTGTCACTCATTCCTGTCGTCTAGGTGACTTCAACTAGGCAGTCAACATCACCCAGCATGGCTCAGAACAGCAGTCGAGGAATTCATAGATTAATGCCAGGTTTTGGTCTATCTACCCTGAACCCTCTACTAACCTGATCCGGCTTCGCCTAGCATGGCATGTCGAGGTAAGTGATGGCTCAGCATGCGCAACACATACCCACACTACTTGGCACTGGTCTATGAAGTCTTTGACTGTTGGTCTGAGCCGTGTAGTGTAGTGTGGACGATCTAGAGTCCTCGAGACTGTTGCAATCAATGTTCAGAGACCTTGGGCATGAGTTAAAATCGGTCACTGTGGCGCAGTTATCTGCTTTCTTTGTCATCTTCGAATTCTTGAGTATTCTCACTGGTCTTTATCCATCTGTATAAATTCTCATACACTTTTGTCAACCTCACTATCTCTCTTTTTCTACCCACCTTTTCTTCGTGTGCTGTGGTGAATTATGTCAACTTACAGTGATGCATTTCTGTGCCAAGTTCTACGTTCATCTTTCCGTCTATTTTTCCTGAATCCACCTAGTTGCAAGTATCAGTCTGGTCTTCTTCGGTCAAGAGAGTCAAGTAGTGTTTTTAGCTTTTGCGTACATAGCGTATTAGAAATATAGCAGCATCATTTATGAGTTCTGAAGTTCATCTTTCAACACCCAAAATCTACCTAGATTTGAGTGACCAGTTAGTGACAGTAGTCCTCACACAATAAGTGTGGCCCTTTGCTTAGTGCATGAACATGCAAAAGAGAGAGAGAAAGGGGAGGGAGAGAAGGTTCCATCTTTTTTCACATATGTTGATGTAATTGGTTTACTGTAACTAACTGTCATTCCCTTTCATCTCTTACAGGAATGGCGTCGTCGGTGTCAAATGAAAACTAGCTTCTATTCAGCTTTAACAGCTTATTATGCTGGCATACATGAAGAAGAGAATAAAGCTTTTGGTAAAGCTATAGCCTGGTTTCAGCTTGCTGTTAAACGTATCGAAGATTGTGAAACAATGGCGAAAAATTTCAAAGATTCAGAAAATCCCTCCATGTTTGTTTCAAGTGGTACTTTTCGCGCTAGTGCTACATATGTTGGGGATATTATTCGTAATAAGTAAGTGAAAGAAACTCTGCCAGAATTTTGTTTTTATTCACATGGAATTTTGTGTATAGTGTACTTGAAATAACCATCTCTATCGGTTTCTTTCAGTAAACAGTGTAGTGTTATAAGTTTCTCTTTCCATTTATACAGATGCAGTATGCAAGGTAGTCTGGTGGCTATGAAATGGGAAAGTGTCTGTGAATGTTGCCGAAAGTCAACTACCAAGGTCTGTGTGACGGGTTGAAACGCTCTTTCTCTACATTGGTCGGGGGAACGTAAATAGTATCGTAAACCGTCACACGTTAAATATGGTTCATAGGGTAGTACATAATTGCATACGATGTGTTGATGAATTGTATTCCAATATACCACATTTCTTGGTGTTCCATCCATCGTCCATCCAAATCAACATAGGATTAGGCATTAATGCGTAACGGTCCGAGTTACTACAACTCATATCAATACAACAAGTAAAAAGGCAGTGAAGTGGAAGATGAAGAAAATAAAATTCAGTCAGAAGAAATACAAAGTACTAAAAGTGGGTAAGGAAGAATGAGAAAGTGGTGAGAATCGGCATGATGTTAAGATGAGGATAATGTGTGTATAGATGTGTGCCACTAACATCGGTTTTCAGACATATCTCCTAGAGTCACTTTCCAACCACTGGTTTCTCTTGTCCCACGGACCCCAACCGGCTAGCCTGCATCACCCCACATGGCTGAAACCAACAGTCAAAGACTTCATATATTGGTGCCATGTTTTAGTGTGGCCACGTCGGGCCTTTTTCCAGCCTGGACCTACTTCAAGCAACATTGTGTGACGAGGCAATCGGTGACTAGGCATACGTAGTACGTGTCCCAACCAGCGATCTCAGTTGATGAAGGTTCATAACCTTGTCAACCGACTTACCTCTTCTCCCTAGAACTGTATACCTGACTTCTGCATTACTCACGTGGTGACACTACAGAATACGGCCTATACTACGAAGGCAACGGTGTTCAAACATGTGAAGCCTTCTCATGTCTTCCATGTTTAATGGTCATATTTCACAGCCATAGAGTATAACAGAGCGGAGTGCTGTGTAGGTGCAGTACACGTGACCCTTAATGGACAATTGGATATCATGGTGGCGCGATAGGTTGTGTAAGTTGGTGAAAGCCAACGGAGCGTTTTGTATTTGTGCAGAGATTTCATTGGGCACTGAGCCACTTGGTAGTGCTGATAGTACTTCCCATGTAGGTGAAGTGGTCGACACACTCAATCACTACAGTGTGTATTGTTAGTCGTGGTGGGGCACCGTTGGAGACCAATCGTGGAGCAACAATTTGGATTTTGATGGTGGGGAACGCATCCCAAACATTCTCAAATTGTCACGCAAGGTGTCCAGAAAACTCTGCATGTTGTCAGCGTCTTCACCTAACAGGACTATGTCATCTGCATATTTTAGGTCTGACGAAAATTCTCCTGTGATTAGGTCCCACCGTATGTTTTTGTTATGGAGTGCAACAGTATCCCTTAGACTCTTAAAAAGCGCCTAGAAATCCCTGGAAAGTCTTCACAATCAATTATGGCATGACGAACATTCGCTACAAACTACATGATCATACGTGTGAGTTTCAGATTGACTGAAGCACTTTGTAGAAAAGGGTAGAACATACCAAGGCCATCTAGTTTTTATATAAAGCGTTACTTTTTGTTAATGTACGACTTCACAATAAGCCTTTTAACGTCATTTCCGCTTTTTTCTGTTTTCGAGGTACTAGGCAACCCTTAAGGATGAGGCCTAAGGTTTGTGTTTGAGTCCACTTATACATAGCTATACATATCTATCACAGGATATATCAGTTCCAAATAGCAACAAAAATAATAGTGGGACTACTAGTAATGACGATAATGATAACATATGAGTGTGTAGCATATGGCCTTCAACATATCATTCGCTATCAAACTTTATATTGTCTTCTAGGTAACTGGGGATTGGTAAATAAACATCAAGTTTCATGTTAAAATTTTCGAAAACTAGAATATAAATATTTGAGTTTACGGGTTCACCCTATGGGTATAAGTTTTATATCTATCTTTTGTTCATGGGACACTAGGTATGTAAAGTATATCAACTTAGGAATCGTTTCTAAGTGATGCTTTTTCTGTATTATTGGTTTTAATTTGGCTTTTCAACCACCCGTCATCTGGTCATATATTCGAACTGCCTCCTATTTACTGTGGTGTGAGGAATCGGGTATTATCATAAGTTCTACACGATTTTTGGCTGGATTTATTCTGTCGACTTGTGTGCTAATTTACTTCACTCTTTACTCGAAATTCCTAACCTACTTTTATCAAACAGCATTGCTGTTCTTAGTTGGACAAATTGTCATTCTACTGGTTGAACTTTACTTTTTTTTCTATTGTGTATCATCTTGCACCATCTTATTACCAAGCTTGATAAGATAGAATGATATGGGAGACATTTCACAAAACAATAAATGCCGTTGGTTGTATCGAAGAGATGATTAAATGATTGTTAATTGGAACGGTAAATATGAATACGATATTGCATGGCGTCGCTGAGTGATTAAGTATCACAAAAAAGAAACAATCTATGTTGGACTTGGCTGCACTTGATTTATGACTATCCTAAACACTGAAGCTAAGTGATGATCATGAAGACTAGTCGATTTATCGTAGTCCGAATTGTGTCATACAGTAAAATAAAACTGCTTCATATATGCAGTGTATGAAGCTCAGGGCTATGATTAGGTGTTCAGAAAACTCTGCGTTTTGTCAACGTCTTCACTTAACACTACTGTCATCTGCATATTCTAGGTCTACTAACTGACTGATAAAATCAACGTAGAACATTACACACAACAATGTCGGTTCAAGTTGCCACACTTCACAGTACTACACAAAGAACAGGTGGATAGAAAAAGAGTGATATCAAAACAGATAAAGAAGCGTGAGAGAATAAACAATCTGAAAATAAAGGTTAGCGTGAATATTGAAGCTTCAGAAGATATCGAGGAGTGAATGCATCTGCTCCATTGTGACCAGTTTTCAGCCATTTTACCAAGAGTTCTCAACCACTCATTCCTATCGTGTCGGGGACCCCAGCTAGACTGTCTACATTTCCCCACACGGCTAAGAGCAACAGCCAGGGACTTCATCGACAGGTGCCACTCTTTGGTCTGTCCACCCTAAACCCTCTTGCTACCTAATCCAACTTCGCCTAGTATGGCACGTCAAGGTAGGTGGTGGGCCGGCATGCGCAGTATATGCCGTGACCATCTCAGTCAACTAAGATTCACAACGTCATTAATCGACTTTCCTATCTTGCCTAGTGCCCTTCACCTGACTTCGTCACTACTCATACGGTGATCCCATCACCGTGAGCAGTTCTACGGAGACATCTGTGGTCAAAACCATGTAACAACTTCATGTCTTCTACTTTTCATGGCGGTCTCACAGCCGTAGAAGAGGACAGAACGTACTGCAGCACATTATACTTGTCTTTTGATAGATAGTCGAATATCTCACCAGTGGCGCCACAGGTGATGCAAGTTGATAAATGCCAGTCAGGCCTTCTGTATGCGAGCTGAGATTTCATCAGCGACTAGCTCGTTTAGCTGACTGATGCAACTCCCGAAGTAAGTGAGGTGGTCGACACATTCCACCACTTCAATACCTATGATTAAATCGAGAGTACTTGCATCAGACCAGTCTTCAAGCATCATCTTAGATTTAACAAGTGCCAGTGGAATGCATACCAAACACACACATATTTCTGTTCAAAGTGTTCCAAAGGCCCTGCATTTCGTCAGCATCTTCACCAAGCAGGACAATATCGTCTGCATATTCTGAGTCAACTAGGTCAACTAAGGAATCTTCTTTAACAAGGGCAATCCGTGTTAAGTTAGATAAGGAGTGGGACATCTCTATTATCACATTTCTGACAAAATATCACACAGAACGACAATATCTCATAACTATAGGGAAAGACATTTATTGCCCACCTCATTTATTAGCGTATCATGTTCCACACAAACCCGTTTGCTGCATAGTGAATTTTTGTTGTCGATTTAATTGCATGAGTTATATGTTTAGTTCACCTTTTACTGTGTTTGATTCATTTCGCCTACTAGATTGACAAGTTCTACAAAGGATAATGATTTTGTATATCATGAGTCTGTACCGAAAATTGAATTACTTGAACAAATTAAAGGTATGTATTTGCTTTGTTTTGATGCAGTATCACAGACAGCTTCAGAGTTGATAGTTATATTGGGTATTCATTTGATGATTTAGCAGTTTATGTGATTCTGACGCATACTTACTTGTTTACCAAAACTCTTACCTTGATATTTCTATACCTTATAGATCATTGATTTACACAGTTGACTTTCAGCCAGTGAGTCATGGGTTCGAACCCCGCTTCACTTACCGAGGTTTGGGCTACCAGGTGTATTATCACTAGCCCTGACAAACAACAACAAAATTGTTTTGATCTACAGTAAATATATGAACGGTATGATGCTCTGGATAGGAGTAAGACAAGCTGTCTACTATCACCGATGATCTCCCTGATTGTGGTGAACTGCGTCATGCAGCAAACACTGAGGAACGAGAAGAGGGGGATACGCTGGACCGGGGAAAAGATCCTAGAAGATTTGGATTTCGCCGATGACTTGTGTCTAATGTCGCACAAACTTGAATATCTACAGGCAGAAACTAACAAGTTGACAGGGGAGGTAGGGCAGCGAAGACGGGACTTCAAGTGAACGTAGAGAAAACAGAGGTGATGAAAATACCTAACCAACAACAACAACAACAAGCTCCATCACCATCAACGGGAGAAACTTAAAGGAGGTAACCTCTTTCATCTACCTAGGCCAGGCGGCACTGTTTCAACTACAGGTGGCACAGACGAGGACGTCAAAGCCAGGATCAAAAAGACAACAAGACAGGCTTTCACCAATCTGAAATCAGTGTGGAGATCTACTGCACTGCACTCAGCATGTGGAACAAGATCTGTATTTTCAACACCAACGTCGAGTCAGTGCTGCTATGTGGTTTAGAAACTCGGCGTGTCACGAAAAGCATTTCCAACAAACTACAGACATTCATCAACAACTGCCACCTACGCTCAATATTGAAGATCAGATGGCCAGAAAGAATAAGCAACAAGGAACTCTGGCCTACCAAAGAACCAACCAAGAACCTATCACTCAACAAATATGCAGTAGAAGGAAGTGGAGATGGACTAGACATACACTGAAAAGGCCGACTGGGGAAATCAGGTGCCAGTCCAGACCCTCGAGTGGAATCCAAATGGGAAACGACGAGTAGGGCATCCCAGCTGAGAGTGACATGAAGGAGATCGTGTAAGGAAAAAATGAAAGCTCCTAGGCGGTCATGGAGCGAGGTTTGCAAGACTGCAGAGAACAGAGTGGAATGGAGGCGTGCTTCTGAAGCCCTATGTTTTACTAAGAACCCAAGGGACAAGTGAATGAAATGAATATTATGCTAAGACATGATACGATTAACGATAGAACAGTGACTTCTGAACACGATACTCAGCTGACACCAGAAGAAGAACACAATGGAATTAGAGGTATATTTACTTTAACCGAATAGTGCAATTTATAGCTGAAAGTTCAGTTGTCTATATACTTTTTCTTGGGTCTGGTCTTAACCAGGGAAACAAAATAGTATATTAAAGGCGTAAAATGGACCAGCGGATATAAACATTACATTGAGCGAAAATGGTGTGAAAATAAAGTTTAATTTTTGCAATGAAAATGTGTGCATATTATAAGTTAGATTTTTTAAGGATTAGACATCCCTATTAAAAATATCTACCTATCAACAGCTAATGGGTCAATGCAAAGTTATCGAAAACTGTAAGTCAAGTCACAAAGTCACCTCGAAATTGTTTGTAGGATACCAAAATTAACAAATAATAAAATAAATAAATAAATGAAATATCTTTGGGAGATGACGACCAGGGTAAAATTAACGATTGAATGTATCTTTTCAACGCAAATATTACGCTTGAACCAATGAATTACGAAAGCTTTTTCTGTGTTCGGCTGATGAGTTCACATTTCCTTCGAAATGTTTAATTTCACTTTATATATGATTTTTAAAGAAGATTCTTATGTAGCAAAGTGACTAGAGTTGCTCAAGAATTGAGCTTTTAATAACTTCATACTTTCCTTTGGGTAGCAGCTATCGAGCCATTTTTGTGACAGTGTTTTCTCGTGAAATGACTAACAAACCAAAGCATACTTATAATTTTGGTTGAGATAGTTGTAGTTTGGCAGACTAGTGTTGATATTCGGTTGATGATTGGATGTAAAATGAAAGTTTGAAACAGTGCTGGATTCGAACCAGCAACCAGTGGGTTCCCGGCCTGATGCTCTATCAAGTGAGCTACGCCGTCCGACTGCTGGCCAGGGTTTTATTCAACCTCCAATCATCACACAATATCAATACTAGTCTGCCAAACTATGACTATCTCACTCAGATAGTCAAAATGATAATCACTATGATGCTACCCCTCCCCTCTAATTCACTCAGATTTGGATTTGGATGAGAAGTCCTGACTAACCAGCCAGTGTGAATACAATCAAGCGACAGTAAAGCATGACGAATTCAGATGGCAGTCGTTGGGCAAAACCCAGCTTGGTGATTGAAGTGAAATAAAAATCTGGTCGGCAGTCGGACCTCGTGGCTCAGATGGTAGAGCATCGGACCGGAAACCCGGTGGTGGTCGCTGGTCCAAATCCGGCTGCGGTCTAGATTTTATTTCACCTTCAGTCATCAACCAGTACAAAGCATACTTGTCACACACGGAGTTGTGAAATATGACGTTTTGCTATTTTATTGTTTCATCTATTTGGAATCGATACAGTTTAACGCAGTTTATGTTCATCTCTTTTTTCTAATCATATTTTCCAATTCAAGGTGTTTGCATTGTTAAAGGTGTACCATTTGACCATAATGATCCAGAAGTTAGGGGTCGTGATATTTTTCATCGACTTATACCAATGAATGTGTTAGAATCAGCGTCAATATACAGGTAAGTGATGTGTTTAAAGTAGGTTTTTGTATAGTTTTGTTCTCAATCGTGAGCAGTTTAAGTGATCTAGTGATCGACCGTTGGAATGTTCACGGACAAAGACAGACAGAGAGACCAAATCAATGTAGAATTTCTCACATAAGCTTTAGAAGACATCAAATGATGGAATAGATCTCTGCCATTGTGACCGATTTTCAGCCATGTCACCAAGACTTCTCAACTACTGATTCCTATTGTGTCAGGGATCCCAGCTGGGCAGTCTGTATCCCTGCATACGGCTCAGACCGACAGTCAAGGACTCCATCGACTGGTGCCACATTTTGGCCTATCCACCCTGGACCCTCTTCCAGCATGATCCAACTTCCCCTAATATGGCATGTCGAGGTAGGTGGTGGGTCGGCATACACAGTATATGTCTTAACCATCTCAGTCAACTAAGGTTCACAACATCATCAATCGACTTTCCTATCTTGCTTAGTATCTTTCACCTAACCTCAACATTGCTCTAACGGTGATTCCACCACACGCGAGCAGTACTGCCAAGGCATCTATGACCAAAACATTTCAACCGCTTCATATCTTCTACTTTTCTCAGCTACGTCTCACAGTCGTATAACATGACTCGTCCTTTGATAGATAGTCGAATATCTCGTCATTCAGCATCGTAGGCGACGTGAGTTGGCAAATGCCAAACGGGCCTTCTGTATGCGAGCTGAGATTTTGTCAGCGACTAGTCCGTTTAGTGGGCTGATGCAACTTCCCGAGTAAGTGAAGTGATCGACAGGTTCAACCACTTCACTCTCGATGATTAAATCGAGAGTACTTACATCAGACCAGTCCTGAAGCATCATCCTACGTTTGACAGGTGCCAGCGAAACACATGCCAAACATAAACAGATTTTCTTGTTCAACGCGTTCACAAGTCCCTTCACCTAGCTGGACAGTAATCGTCTCCATACTCCAAGTGAACGAAATGACCTCCAGCGAGTAAGTCAATCACTATGAAATCAAACGTACATAGGGTTATGTCCATCAGTACATCTTTAAGGAAATTATACAGGAACGGTGATAGTGGGCATCCTTCACGGACACCACTAGTTGTTGTCAGTTCATATGAGACTTCAGCCAAGTAACCATCGCTTTGAAAGTCGAAGCATCCCCCATTAGACCAATGAAGCATGAGAGCAACGTTCTGTGCAACGGGTACCAGTGATCTATTGATACTTGTAATTTCTCATGGCTGTATTGGATCAAACCATCTAAGAGGTGGCTTTCGTGTCCCAGTGGCCTAGTCGGTAACGCTTTGATGTTTTAAGCGATGGACACTGGTTACGAGTCTCAGTAGGAATATCACCACACACTTTGATACAAGTCCATTCAACTGACGAGTCGTAGATAGAATGAAACGTGCATCATAGATTCTACTGCTGGCCACCACTGAGTAAACTACGGCATAATTAACATACACGTAGTATCGAAGCATGTGCATGGGAACCCATTTGCTAAGCGACGAATTACACGTATCGATAAACAACAAATAGTATCGAAGTCTTCTACAATGATGGAGTTTAAACAGTGAAGTAGCTTAATTATTCAAGTTAGTTGACTGGAGAGTATTTTAAGTTTATTGTGATCCAGACATTTATTGGTTGCTATAGGTCTAAAAAGAATTGCAACATATAACATCGTTCCATACAGTAAAGCATATAAATTATGTGAAGACCAATGATGTCAATACCTAGTCGAAAGAAAACCAAAGCATAATTAGTGGATTTGAAGATGCCATCACATAGCGATGGATAGATAAATATTTCAACTACTGATTTGTATATAACTCATATTAAAAACGAAGCTTATTCACGTTGTGAAACATCCTATGTAGTGCTTATTAAAGCACTACTATTCGAATTCAAGGTGTTTAAGGGCTTAAGGAGAGTTGTTATGTGAACTGACGACAATTAGTGATATCCGTGAAGAATACCCACTATCACCGTTCCTGTATAATTTCTTTACAGATGTACCGATGGACATAACCCTATATACGTTTGATTTCATAGGGATTGACCTACTCACTGGAGGGCCATCTGGGTTGACTTAGAGTATGCACACGATTATTGTCCAGCTAGATGAAGATACTGAGGAAACTCAGATAGTCTTGTGAACACGTTGAACAAGAAAATCTGTCTATGGTTTGGCATGCGTTTCGCTGGTACCATGACTGGCTATCATAGCATAATTAATACTTTTTGACTTATCAGTAAGAGGATGAAATAACTTTCAATTAGGCTTTGATTTTGTTTTTACCAAAATATCTACATTTTTATCATCAACCTTTCTGTGTGATTTTCACATGATCTGGATAAATAAGGTCGTTTGTTATCAGTTGTCAAATGTATATCAAAATTGTACATTGTGTTTTGATTTAGAATTTGTGTAACAAGAAAACTTTGAACGATTAGTAGATTTTCAAAATGTATTTTTCCAACATACCACAGTATAAGTAGAATTTGAGCTGTTTAATTAAGCAGATAATACTACCAATTTACTTTTGTTTTCAAGTTTCTCATCATAACAGATGAAGAATGACTTTAAAGGCCATCCTAGTAACGACTGAGATAACCAATTATATTCTTTTATTTCATGGAAAAGTACTTTCCAAGGCGAAATACTGAAGTCTGATTGGTCATTTCAGCAGTTGCTAGGGTAACCTTTAAAGTCATTTCAAATGAGCATGGCATAGATTGTTCATGTATGGTTTTTTGGTGATGGTCTAATTCAAATCATCAAGTTGACAATGTGAAAGCAAAATTAAGGCAACTTGTCATTGTTGTACATTTTTGATTGATATTGAGAGGAACAATTGCAGATCGATCATCATCATCATCATCATTATCAACATAGGACCAGGCATTACTGCCTCACGGTCCGAGTTGCCACACCTCATATCAGCACATCAAGTAAAAAGGTAGTGAGGTGAAGGATGAAGATAAGTGAATGCAGTCAAAAGAAATATAAAGTATGAGAAGAAAGGAAAGAGGAGTGACAAAATGGTGAGATTCGGTATAGCGTTGTTAAGATGAGGATAATGTGTGTATACATCTGCGCCACTGACTTCGGTTCTGAGCCATATCACCTAGGGTCTCCAACCACTGGTTCCTCTTGTCCCGTGGACCCCAACCACCTAGTCTGCATCGTCCTACATGGCTTAAACCAACAGTCAGAGACTTCATACATTGGTGCCATGTTTTAGTCTGGCCACCTCGGGCCTTTTTCCAGCCTGAACCCACCTCAGCCAACATTGTGTGACGAGGCAATCGGTGACTAGGCATACGTAGTACGTGTCCCAACCATCTCAGTCGATGAAGGTTCACAACCTCGTCGACTGACTTACCTCTTCTCCCTAAAACTCTACACCTAACTTCTGCATTACTCACATGGTGACACCACGGAATACGTCCTATACTACGAAGGCAACGGTGGTCAAACACCTGAAGCCTTCTTATATCTTCCACTTTCAATGGCCGCAGATAGATAGGTGTAATGATTCACCTAGGTTTCGAGCATGTTGGCATCTGTCAATATGTCGAGTACTACAACCTTGAGGAGACTGTTCAGTGTAAGAGATGTGAACCAATTTCTCCTTATGGGTGGTGAAAATCGCATCCCAAACATTCTCAAATTTCCACTCAAAGTGTTCAGAAGACTCTGCATCTTGTCAGCGTCTTCACCTGACAGGACTATGTCATCTGCATATTCTAGATCTAAGGAAAATTCACCTGTGGTCCGGTCAACGTCTTTGTAATTAGGTGACGAGAGGGAAACCTCCATAAGAATATCTATGATAAAATTAAATAAGAATGGGGATAGTGGGCATCCTTGACGGACACCACTTGATGAGTATAGCTATTTCTTCTTAAGGTTCCCTGAAAGAGATTTGTGTGACCGCAGAGCCCATCGGACATCTGCTTGAGGCCTGTCACACCCAGCCTTTTGAGTATGATTATTTTGAATTTTTGTATTTTTGGGGCCGGATGAGCGAAAGGAAACGACAAGTGAACCAACACCGCCGGCCCGGCAGACCGTGGGGCGTGGTGGAGTGTGTTATTTTTGGGGCCGACCTTTTCTAACCCCCCCTTCCACTGAGAAGGCAGCATCAGCTTGGCACTGCTGGTCATCCAAGGGAAACACCTTACTGCTGTCACACCCCATCCAGCTAGCAGCAGTACGACTTCGCCCTCAGACCCCCATCATAGTATAGCAATTTACACTATGACGGTAACTGCTTTTCGTCTTACCACTACCCAACAGACCTTTCTGGTATGGTAGGACCTCGAGGGAACAAGCGTTCCACCAGCATAGCTCGTTGGGTCATTGTGATATGCAAGCCCGACCACCACGTCAAGGTAGCAGCTATCGGTCGGGCTCTGTTCTACTGTATGGCTGTGAAACATGGCCATTGAAAGTGGAAGACATGAGAAGGTTACAGGTATTTGACCACCGTTGCCTTCGTAGTATAGGACGTATTCCGTGGTGTCACCATATGAGTAATGCAGAAGTTAGGTGTAGAGTTTTAGGGAGAAGAGGTAAGTCAGTCGACGAGGTTGTGAACCTTCATCGACTGAGATGGTTGGGACACGTACTACGTATGCCCAGTCACCGATTGCCTCGTCACACAATGTTGGCTGAGGTGGGTTCAGGCTGGAAAAAGGCCCGAGGTGGCCAGACTAAAACATGGCACCAATGTATGAAGTCTCTGACTGTTGGTTTAAGCCATGTAGGACGATGCAGACTAGGTGGTTGGGGTCCACGGGACAAGAGGAACCAGTGGTTGGAGACCCTAGGTGATATGGCTCAGAACCGAAGTCAGTGGCGCAGATGTATACACACATTATCCTCATCTTAACAACGCTATACCGAATCTCACCATTTTGTCACTCCTCTTTCCTTTCTTCTCATACTTTATATTTCTTTTGACTGCATTCACTTATCTTCATCCTTCA